ACCAAAAAAAAAAAAAAAAAAAAAAAAAACAAATCTGCTGAAAAGCCATGTGCCATGCATGCACTGTGCTGGAGACTAGAATACAAAGATTCTCCCTTTGATCTTAAATTGCCATAAAATTCAAGGATAAAAGTAACTGCAAGATACAAAGTAGACCGAGTTGTGATATAGGAGAAAATAGCACCAGAAAATACTTCTCCCCCTAGAAAAACAAAAATATTCCAAAACATTATTTCTTGGAAAGAATGTAGTCTCCCTGATTCCCACTGACCACTGCGCCAAAATTTTTTTCTTCATATTTCTCTTGTTCAATGTATTAAACTTATATATTCTTAAAACCAAATAAAATTTTAAGTTATAAACAATAGTAGAAATTATGGCAAATAAGCAAATGGACTGTTCTTCAATGTCTAAGCCTGGATATCCATGACTAATTTAGTATGGACTAAAGGAAAACCTGAGATGGTTTCTACTTGAGGAACCCTAAAAGTAGGATTACGTTTAGGAATATTACTGGACCTAGAAGTCTCCACATTCAGCCCTATCTCCTATAACTTTGGACTGCTTTAAGAAGACTGATACCAAGACAGAAAAGAGAGGAACTGATTCACTTCAGAGACTACAATACTTGACAGAATTTTCAGACCGTAAGTCAGAATTCTCTACACAGCTACAATCACTCCAGCACAAGTTACAACACTGCTCTCGGATGCGTGTTAACTTTTTCCTCACAGTGTCCTCTCTCTACCTCTCTAGGAGTGGAACATAACATTGTATCCAGTCAATATAACGCTCACTCTTGGTGCCAGATATTTCTTCCTGCAGTATAGGTCCGCTTTACCTGGAATTTTAAGAACTTATTAATTGTAGGCTCTTTTCTCCAATGAGTAAGTAAGAGGAGGACAAGAGCATACAAATATCTTAAGTGACATTCTTGGATCAAGTTACACAACAGAGAAAATGACTAAAATCTAGACCTCAACTCCTAGTCCTAAAAATTTTAGGACTGTTAAAAAGCACAATTTGCAAAACGGTATTAACTGTTAACAACTGTTATTAAGCTACTACAGTAACTAATTGTAAGTGTTCTCAGAATTTTACATAAATTAACATGAGCAAAAATCTTACAGTAGCTAGAAAACTGGTGGGGGATAAAAGGACTGAGAAACTTCTTCGAGGAAAAAAATTACTATCCCACCACAGACGTTGATAGATCTGAACTTAAGTTTCTTCGTTAGAACAAGCTCACTGGAAGAAATATTCTTTCAAATGTTGGCTAATTGTTGATTCATCTTCCCCTATAAAAATATTACTAAAATAAACAAATCAACGTTTAGGGTAGTACCTTTTAGGAGTCATATTGTTTTACACTATTTATCACCTTTTTACTCGCTATTTATCACCGTGAGATGCAATTTGTATGTCATCTCTTTTAAATTCCTCACCAGGGGTACTGACTCTAAAAAATCATCTCGGGGAAGAGTTCCCTTTCTCCCTTAAGTTCCCCTTCAATACGAAGAATACTAATCTCTATTACATGCTAAATATCAAGACGAATTTCTGTACTTATCCATCTGTATCCCTAAATAGACTGTACTTAAACTGCTTCCTAGCTAGCACCTGGCACAATGCCTGTCCAATTAATGCCACGCTCGTAACGCCATACTCTGGAGTTAAAAATAACAAGAATAGATCGTGTTAACATGTGGGTCCTTGAAAAATCAGTTTTTTAAAAGTGTTTGGCGTGATGGCACTGCCACTACGGAGGTACAATAGGCGATTCCCAAAATAATTCTACGCACTTAGAATCGCTGTAATTGTAAAAGTAATCAAACACAGCTACCACTTTTATTGTAACTTATTAAATAACTTACACATCACACCACTTTTTAAAGGCACAGTGCGTAAAGGAGCTGCTTCGTGTCACTGCGACCTCAGCAGGACACCAGAGATTTCAAGAAAAACAACTCCATGCGAAAGCTAAGTCTTGCCGCTTTCACCCCTCCCCCTCACGGCTACAGTGCCCTGCTGCCCGCAACCATCTGCATCACCGTATTTCGCCGAAGACACACCCCTGGCGACCTCAGAGCGGAGGAAACCCAGCTCAGCCTTCTCCTTCCCTGCCTCTGAACCATCTAAGCTTCCCGATCCTCCACGAGCCCCTCGAGGTCGCCGCCAAGGAGCGAGACTCGACGCCGAGCTCCAAGTTCCTCCGCCCCGCGCCAGCTCGGGCCCAGCTCCCCCTCCCGCCGTCCCTGTTCCCTCCCCCATCGGCCCTCAGGGCTGGGTCTCACCTCTCCACCCACTCCCTCAGGAAGCGCATTTCCTCGGTGTGCAGAACGCTTGGGTCCTGCTTGCACATTTTCACGAAGGCTCGAAGCTCGCTCACTTTGCGGGGGTCCATGGTCCGGAGGCGGCGGGAGGCAGCAGGAGGCGGCGGGCAAGGCGGAGGCTGCGGCCCGATCCCAAGCCCGGGCTAGTTCAGCGTGACCTCATAAAGGGGGCGGCTGCTGAGAGGCAGAACAGACTAGAACCTCCCCGGCCGCTGGCTCCGCCCACCCAACTGTCTCGTGACCCCGGGTCCTTCGCCAGTTCATTCCTATTCCTCTACCGCCGCGCTGTGCATCAGGCTAGAATCTTCTAGAAGTGTGGCTGTTCGTGCGGGTGCCTGCCTCTCCATGCACGGATTCTTATCTTCACTCAGAACAGTGCTCTAGATGGATCAACCTCCTATCCGGTGCTTTCAAGGAGGCAGGAGCTGTCAGCCCCTGCGGGGAGTCATTTAGAACAGAATATTCTGTGATTGAGGCCATTAAATGGAACATGACGTCATGACGCCAAGGTGGCCCTCCGGCCGGAGCGGCGATCACAGCTCCGGGCGTGACGTCAACATACTGCGCCCCTGTGGGAGGAAAGCCCGTCGAGCAGCGCCGGCCGGAAGGGGAGGGACGCCTGGCCTGGTTTCCGGGCGACTCAACCCTGCCGGCGGCGGCATCTTCGGCAGTTTTCCGCGTTTCCTTCCCGAAGTGCAAGCGTGGCGGTTATGCCTTGGATACTCTCGGCAACTAAGCTTGTTTCCGCGGTAGCAAGCGCCCGCAGCCTCTCAGGTTAGACTCACCTTCCACAGTGTCTCCTTCGGGGCTTGCTCTGAGAAGCCTGAGGCGCACCAGAGGGGTCCAGGTTGGTCTGAGGCGACCCCTGCTTCAGTGGACTCTTCTGCTGGGGTCTCCACTCCCAAACCCTCTGTGCGCTCCTTGGATTTCTTCTCTACCCCCTGTCCCTGGAAAAGGGTGGGCCCGGGGTTCTCTCTGCAGTTGAGGTATTCTAAGAGATTGAAATGACTGCAGAGAGAAAAGGGTGTGCTGTCTTCCCAGAGAGGCTGTCTTCAAAGTAACTCGGACTCATGGAAGTTGTGTCAGTTATCACACTTGCCCAGGTGACACAGTGTCTCACATCACGTAGCTCTTGTTTCTGTTAGGTTAACTTACAGTCGGATTTTCACGTTTTCAAAGAGTAGACGTGAGAGCTGGCTGCAGAATGTACAGGAAACACATGTTTAGTACTACACATCCTTTGAGTAGTTCCTCTCAGAAGAGGTAATGTTTGGAAATACTCCTGAGTCTTTTTATGTCTGAAAGCCTTGCTGGAAAAGGCAAGATAGTAAGTCAGGAAGAGAAAAACAAATACCGTATATTAACGCATATATGTGGAGCCTAGAAAAATGGTACAGATGAACTGGTTTGCAGGGCAGAAATTGAGACACAGATGTAGAGAACAAACTTATGGACACCAAGGGGGGAAAGCCGCGGAGGGGTGGGGATGGTGGTGTGATGAATTGGGCGATTGGGATTGACGTGTATACAGTGACGTGTATAAAATGGATGACTGATAAGAACCTGCTGTATAAAAATATAAATTAAATAAAATTCAAAAAAAAAGAAACTTAAAAAAAGAAAAGGCAAGATAGAGTAGTCCAGGAATGGGGGGCGGGGCATTTTTTTAGGGTATATTCTGTCGCGAGTAGTGAACATGAAGCTTGGTCGGTGAAAGCTGAATCGTCTTTCAGGCAGATCTGCCATTGGATCATATTTTAGTTTTGGGGGCCGATAGGTGAACAATGTGTGAGCCGGAGCATATGGTATTTGACACCAATGTTAAGTCTTGACATGTATTTCTTACGTTGGTATACCTGAATTTATTGAAAATGGAATGGTAATTATATCAAGACTTACTCCTTACTCTAGAAAGTAAAAATAAAAAGTAATCATTGTTCAGTGCACAGAACTTTCTCTTTGCTTCTAACACTTAAGTTCCATAAAGTTGTCCCTCTCCATGAGGGTAGGTGAATAGATATGCAGTTAGTCAGTCTTTTTTTTTTTTTTTTTTTTTTTGCGGTAGCGGGCCTCTCACCGCTGTGGCCTCTCCCGTGGCGGAGCACAGGCTCCGGACGCGCAGGCTCAGCGGCCATGGCTCACGGGCCCAGCCGCTCCGCAGCATGTGGGATCCTCCCTGACCGTGGCACAAACCCGTGTCCCCCACATAGGCAGGCGGACCCTCAACCACTGCGCCACCAGGGAAGCCCGCAGTTAGTCAGTCTTGATCACAGAGGCCATAACTTGTGATTTAGAGCTGGAACCATTCTTTGCTTGTAACTTTTTTTCCATTTGTTGAGGCTTTGTGTAAAACCTGATTAATCAAAATTTAGAGCTAGGTACTGGATTATACACACCAGTGTCCTGGAAAAATGTAGTCATTATGCTTCATTTTGCTTCAGTGGAATAAGTAAATTTAACCACCTCTCATATTAACATCATAATATACATATATAGGCTTTTTGAATGAATGAATGGTCTCCTTGGATCTTCACAAGTCCAGTAAGTTAGAGCAAATGTCATTTTACTGATGGGGAACTGAAACTAACACAATATCACAAGTAGCAAGTTAGGAATGTTAGTTGTATGATTCCCATCTAGTCCTTTTTCTGTTATACCTCTGCTAGGTCTTACTCTGCTTAGTAGAGTCATTTTGGACCTTTTTATTGAGCCAGAAAGAATGTATCTTCATTCAGTAACTTTTGAGTTAGCAGTCATTGTGGGTGAATCTCCACTTCCCTGGAGTTACAGTCTAGTCAGATGATAGAGAAGCAACAAATAAATGAATATATATAGCAAAAGATGGTAATAGAGTCTTGACTCAAGTGACATGGGAGCCCAAGAAAGGCAATAATGGGTTGTAAGTATGTTATTCTGGGATTTTATAAAGTTTTAGAATTTGAAAATTCCACCAACTTTAGATGTTCATAAATAGAACTTCAAATGTCTGTGGTGCTCTTGGTTGCTTTTCCTTAGGAAGGCTCTGGAAACAGGGTGTTGAGTACCATAGGTAACTTCCTATTCTGTGAAAGTCATGCATTCCTAAAGTGAAAATGCTTTGGCTAATTAAGAGTGTGATTTCATTAGTTGTGATATAGTTATTAACACCTTCTAGTCATTTGAGAAAAAGCAAAATAAAGCATTAATGATGCATAAGTAAGTTTTATATTTTAAAAAACTAGATCATTTAAATATAAGTGTGAGGTGAGGAAGGGAAATATTGAAAATATTAAAGAATAAGTAGAAAATAAATTTTAAAAGCCTGTTTGCAGTTAATTCTATTAACATTAATTGAGCACCACATAGGAGAACTAAGCACACAAAAAAAGTTTCTACCATCATGCAAGACAAAAATGCAAGTAATTGTGGGCTTCCCTGGTGGCGCAGTGGTTGAGAGTCTGCCTGCCGATGCAGGGGACACGGGTTCATGCCCCGGTGTGGGAAGATCCCACATGCCATGGAGCGGCTGGGCCCGTGAGCCATGGCCGCTGAGCCTGCGCATCCGGAGCCTGTGCTCCACAATGGGAGAGGCCACAGCAGTGAGAGGCCCGCGTACCGCAATCAATCAAAAAGCAAGTAATTGTAATGTAACATACTTGTGGGGAGAAGGAAAAAGTGTTGATATTTTCTGGGGGCAGAGAGGGGCAAAGAGGAAACGTGGGTGTGACTTCAAAGGTTAGGAGAGTTGAGACTTGAAAGAAGGCTTAAATTCACCAAGCCAACTAGAGTGATGGAGCCATCCTGGAAGAGAGAATGAATGCAAAGGCCCAGAACTCTGAAACAGAATGACTGGTACAAAGCTTTGCATCATTAATAAGCCTGGAGCTTTTTTGAAATATGTTGCTGGGCGTGTTAATAGCTGTTACACCAAAAGGGTTCTGTGGTCAAATAAGTATGGGGAATGCTGCATTTAATAGTGCTCATAATAGACGCTTTCCATGTCTCTAAGAGGGAAATGTCTTTGGCATTAATTTGCAAAATGTATTTGACCATGGAGCCCTTTTTCTCTGGTGAGTCTTGAACTGGTATCCCTTTGAACACAGTTTGGGAAAAGTTGGGCTCAAGCATGAGATGTGTAAGAAGACACATGTTAGAAAGTCAAGTTGGGAAGAAAGCTGGTGGCTGGCTCGTGGAGTGTCTTGTATATTATGTTAAGCAACATGGAGCTTTTTCCTCTAGGCAGTAGGAAACGAATAATTTTAAGCTCTTGAATAAGATTAAATCTGAATTTTTAGTTATCTGTTAAGAGTAAAATAAAAAATGGACCAGAGGGCATGTTATTGCATTCTCAAATTTTCAGAGACACTGGTTTTTGCTTTTGTTGAAAAATTGCATTTTTTTCTAAGTCTGATTAGTCCCACATGTGTAACAATAAATAAATTCTACTGTCACATTTTATATAAATGGCATTTGAAATACTCTGAGTTTTTATGATTTTATTTTCTGCAAATAAGCATTAAATGCTAATTGTCCCCAGTCTCTCCTGTAGAATAAATGAACTTTCCTCCCCACCCACCTACCAACTAAAAATCAAACCGAACAAGAGCTCACGCTTTATTCTAGTAGTCGTTTAAAAATAGTTGATCCTAGGGCTTCCCTGGTGGCGCAGTGGTTGAGAGTCTGCCTGCCGATGCAGGGGACACGGGTTCGTGCCCTGGTCCCGAAGATCCCACATGCCGCAGAGCAGCTAGGCCCGTGAGTCATGGCCACTGAGCCTGCGGCGTCTGGAGCCTCTGCTCCGCAACGGGAGAGGCCACAACAGTGAGAGGCCCGCGTACTGCAAAAAAAAAAAAAAAAAATAGTCGATCCTAGAATTTTTTCTGGTTTCCAAATTTGTTGCATTGCTATATATCACTGAACTGTGTTTTTCGAAAGGTGGTTGGGTTTTAAGTGCTGCTAGATGATTTGCTCCCATCTTTTAGTCACACCCGCGTACTGCAAAAAAAAAAAAAAAAAAATAGTCGATCCTAGAATTTTTTCTGGTTTCCAAATTTGTTGCATTGCTATATATCACTGAACTGTGTTTTTCGAAAGGTGGTTGGGTTTTAAGTGCTGCTAGATGATTTGCTCCCATCTTTTAGTCACATTAAAATTTATAGTAATTATATTTCTAAGATAAAAGATTAATATGATCAATAAGATCTTTTTGTTTAA